TGAATTGTCTGTTTATGCTTTTCCTCATTTTTTATAGGAGATTTGGGGTTTTTCCTTAATGTTTAAGTACTTTGTATGTCAGAGATATTACCCTTTTATCCATAATGTTGTGGAAATAACTTCTCCCAACTTGTCATTTGTGGTTTTTTCAAATTGTGACAAAATACACATAACATAAAATTTACTATTGTAACCATTTGAAGTGTATAATTCTGTGCCGTTAAGTACATTTACCATCCATCTCCAGAATGTTATCATCCCCAACTGAAACTCCGAACTCATAAACAATAATGAGAACTCCCCATTCCTCTCTTCCTCAAGCCCCTGGTGACAGCCATTTTACTTTTTGCCTCTACAATTTTGGTTACTGTAGGAAACTCATGTAAGTGAAATCATTTGGTATTTGTCTTTTTGTGTCTCACTCATTTCATCTACCATATCGTCCTCAAGTTTCATCCATGTTCTGGTATGTGTTAGAATTTTCTTCTTTTTTAGGGCTGAATAATATTCCACTGTACGGATATACCACAGTTTGTCCATTTATCCATTTATCTGTTGATGGACATATGTGTTGTGCCACCCTGTGGCCACTGTAAATAACACTGCTATGAATGTGGATGTACAAACATCCGTTTTAATCCCTGCTTTCAATTCCTTTATGTATACAATCAGAAATGGAATTGCTGGATCACATAGTAATTCTACATTTAATTTTTTGAGGAAGCACTACACCATTTTCGACAGCAGTGCATAAGGGTTCCAGTTTCTCTACATCCTCACCAACACTTGTTATTTATTTATTTATTTATTCATAAAATGGTTTATAGGTTGGGCGCAATGGCTCATGCCTGTAATCCCAGCACTTTAGGAGACGGAGGCAGGTGGATCAGGAGGTTAGGAGTTCAAGCCCAGCCTGGCCAATATGGTGAAACCCTGTCTCTACTAAAAATACAAAAATTAGCTGGGCATGGTGGCACATGCCTGTAGGCCCAGCTGCTCAGGAGGCTGAGGCAGGAGAATAGCTTGACCCCAGGAGGTGGAGGTTGCAGTGAGTCGAGATTGTGTCACTGCACTTTAGCCTCAGTGATAGAGCAAGACTCCATTTCAAAAAAAAAAAAAAAAAAAAGTTTTATATAATAGCTATCCTAATGGATATGAAGTGGTATCTCACTGTGGGTTTTTGTTATGTTTTTTTTTTTCATAATCAACACTGGAGGTACATTACAGTTTGTCCTCATGAATTCTAGTTGTTCTCATGAGATACATTTTGTCTTTGTAGTTTCAACTTTGCCTTTGAAGTGCGCCATGTCACATCTAGCTATTCTTCTGATTCCCAGGTCTACAAACTACAGTGACTTCAGACGTGCCCCATGTACAATGGAAAGGCTTCCATAACCTGTTTTCTTCTACCTCTAACATTGTCTAAAGTTCAATCTCTATCATATATCCCTTATTTCATCAAACTAATAATGATTTTACTTTGCAGATCAAATCCTAATGATATATAATTGGTAAGTGTTTAGGAAGTGAGGTTTTGGGCTATAAATTGTTCCTCTTCATCTCATGTAATGCTTTTTGGCCTACTCTACTTTGTTGGATATCAGAATTACAGCACCTGCTTTTTTAGAGTTGGGGTTTCCTTTATGCCTACATTTGAAAATCTTTTCTTTTAAAGGGCGAACTGAGCCCACTTGTAAATTGGTATGACTGATGTGGGTTGGTCTCAGCTCTATCATATTGTTTCCTATTATAACTACTGCATCACTGTGCTACACTTACTGTGTTTCTTTCATTATTTGGTATGTATTCTTTGCTATTTTTAGAACTTTCGGGGTTTTAGAATAGGGTTTCCAATATTTGGGAATATGTATATTTTTAGTGATTTTTACTTATATTTTTAATATATTACCCTTAATTCCTATTTTTTGTTTCTAACCTTTTAACATCTGGTCTGTCAGTTTTATATGGTATCCTTTCACTCCTACCTGCTACTGATATTGCAGACAATGATATTATTCTATTTTCCCTTTGCTCTTCCCCCTTCTCCTCCAGTTGTCGTTAGTTGCACCTGTTCTAAGTTTATCAGAAAGTATAATGTGTATACACTATTCTTTCACCTACTGAATATACAAAATGTTCTCCACTAGTCACTCTGCTGGCTTCCTCAGCTGTCTCTTGGTTGGAGGAAGCTCATTCTCTAAGAGTACTCATGAAGGGCCCATGTGTGTGATGTTCTCTGAATTTTTGCATTCGGGTCACATCTCTTTGCCTATAACCTTGACCCTTGAGAGCTGGGGTATAAAAATCACTGCCTGGTACTTTTTTTTTTTTTTTTGTGATGGAGTCTTGCTCTGCCACCCAGGCTGGAGTGCAATGGCGTGATCTCAGCTCACTGCAACCTCTGCCTCCTGGGTTCAAACGATTCTTCCACCTCAGCCTCTCAAGTAGCTGGGATTACGGTCACCTGCCATCACACCCGGCTAATTTTCATGTTTTTTTAGCAATGGGGTTTCACCATGTTGGCCAGGCTGGTCTGACCTCAGGTGATCCACCCACCTTGACCTCCCAAAGTGATGGGATTACAGGCGTGATCCACCATGCCTGCCCTGCCTGGTACTTTTGTTCCTTGTTAATGCTGCGCCACTGTTGCCTGGCTTTGCGTGTTGCTGTTCAGAAGTCTGATGCCAGCATAAATTTTTACCTCTATAAGCAATTTGATCTTTTTTGCCTTTAAAATCTAATCATTTTACTAAAATATATTTTGGAGTTGATAATTCCAGATCATTTCCCAAGGTACATGGAAGTCACTTTTGACATGTACATTTAAATTTTCCCTTATTCCTGGATTATTTTCTGGGGTTATAGTTTTAATATTAATTAGGTTTTATTGTTTAATGTTTGTACTTTAGGGACTCCAGTTACGTGTCTTTCGGTCTTTCTTTCCTGGCTTTTATTTTAATCTCTTCTCTCTGAACCTTTTTACTTCTATGTTTATATTATTTTCAATTTCTTGATTGTTTTCTTGCCATTCTTCGGTGTCCTTTTACATATTTTCATTTGAATATATTCTCCCTTGGACACCTTATAATTATTCTTTGTTTCTGAGATAGTTTTTGTCATTATTTTCAATTTCCTTCTTGAATTTGCTCAACCCTTGTTGCATTTCTTCCTAATTTTTGTCGTTATGTCTTTAGTTTTTGAAATTTCTTATTCTAGCTGTGTGTGTGTGTGTGTATATGTGTATACAAATACATGACACTTTGTTCAGTTCGATATGTATTACAATTTTCTTATGCTTCATGGTTTTTATTGTGGGGGTTTTCATCGGCGAAAATGTTATGATTTATTTTTTTATCATCAGAAATGTGATTATTTTTCTGTTTTCTTTTTGCAGAATCTTTAGATGCAGTTGATTTGATGGTTTTCTGTTACTAGTCATTTTGAGGCAGGGTTCCCAGTTCAAGAGTGTTCTCTTTTATCTGTGTACTGAAATGCAGTTTTTAATAGATAATGTTGGTGTTTGGGGAGGGGACTGGCAGTTTTTTTAATTTCTGCAGGATTTGTAATTTTCCCTTCTGACTTCCTTCTTTCCCTTCATTGCCAGGCCTCTGAAGGACACTATCTTTTTTGTATTTATCTGACTTTTTCCCAGAAGCAAGGCTCCTTCAAGGCTCCCACCTCTTGTCCCATTTTCTTTCAAATCTCTTCCCTTGATCAACAAGGCACCTGACCTCTGTTCAGTTTTTAGTTCTTGGTGTTGGACTTTCTATTTATAAAGAGATGACAACCCTGTACTTCACTTAAGTCATTGGTAATAGTGGAGGGAGCTCAGTTGGAATTTGATGTCTTCTCTTTCTTCTACTTAAGTAATTTAATGTTCAGTTCATGGTATTCTCTCTAAGTAATGCTGAAGGCTTGTTTGTTTTTGTTTCGTTGAGGATATGGGTAGGGATATATTCAGGCAGCTGCCATTATCCTCTGAGAAGCTCCTGCAACATTTAACATATCAAGTTCTAAGTAAAATTTCTCTCTTCCTTAGGAAACACTGGAAACTGCGTGTTACAAGGGCATCACCAAGGTTAACAGATTCTGTTACAAGACAGATCGTTTTCTTGTATCATTAAAGATGTTTGGTGTGCTTTTTAAAGAAAGCAATGAATAAGAATGAAAAGATTTTAAACAATATCTTATTGCTTTCTTTCTTCTTCATTTCGCGTTTATTGAAAAGAACAACTCTACCATTGATAGCTCTGTCACCCACAGAAAAATGTTCTTTTGAAAATTACCTTCTCAGTTCCTACCTCAAAACCTCCACATCTGCCTAAATAGATAAATAAAACCGATACCAGCGGGTCAGGAATGTTTTGCTGCAAGATTAGTGAGAAAACTGCAGCAAGCAGTAGCAAAGTCGGGTTCAGGCGGGCGGTTTGCACCAAAAACTCAGGTCAGTTGACCAATAAGAGCAAGCCCGTTAAGGGTCTGAGGTGGCCTCAAAGACCAAGGCTGAAGAGGTGACAGTCTGGGGAGGAAGCGCCGGGGCCACTACCGCCCCCATAACCGAGAGGCCCCGTGTGCGTGAGCAAGGCTCTGTGCCCACGTGTGCGCGCGCTCCAGACGGGTCCCGGGGCAGCCACCTGTCACTCACGGGGGAGGGGGCGGCCGGCGGGGGGAGCACGCTGAGGAGGCGGGCGGGCTGGCTGGCGGGCGGCCGGGGGCGGGGCGGCGCCCAGGCCCTCCCGACTGAGCCCGGCGTGCTGCAGCCATGGAGACGCGGCAGTCCCCTCCCGCGCCCCGCGCCCCGGCCCCCGCAGCCGCAGCCGATTGGTCGCCCTTTGCTCCCTGACCCCCCTCACCGCCTCCGAGGCCGCCGCTTCCTGCTCGGGCGCCGCGCGGCGCCGCCGGCCCGGGGCGGAGCTCGGGCGCCGAGTGCGCGCCGCCGCCAAGCAGTAGCCCCGCGCGGGAGGAGGAGCCGCCGCCGCGCCCTTCCCCTTCCTCCGCTCCTCCCCCGGCCCCCACCGCGCCCGCGGCCGGCCCAGGCAGCACTCGCGAGCAGCGGCGGCCCGCCGGCGGCCGAGTTAGGAGAATGCGGCGGCGCTCGCGGATGCTGCTCTGCTTCGCCTTCCTGTGGGTGCTGGGCATCGCCTACTACATGTACTCGGGGGGCGGCTCCGCGCTGGCCGGGGGAGCGGGCGGCGGCGCCGGTAGGAAGGTGAGTGGAGCGCCCTGCCGCGGCCGGGCCCCTGCGCCCACCCCCACCCTGCGCCCCTGTCCCCTGCCCGCTCCGCGCCGCCCCTACGCTCCTCCGCCCGGACCTCCGCTCGAGCCGCCCGCCCCCGTCCCGGGCCTCCGCGCCAAGTGCCCAGGGCAGGGGTGCACCCGGCCCCTCTGCGCACGCCGGGCTCGGAGAGGGCGGCCCCCGCAGCCTTTCTCACCCCTCCGCCCCCTCTCGTGGACGTCACCCCTCTCTCTGCTCGTCGTAATTCGAGTCTTGTCCGGCCGCCGGGAGCCCCATCCCCTGCCGTTGGAAGTTTAGGGATGGGGGTGTTGGGAAACACAAAGGGGGTGGGGAGGAGAGGAGAGGCGACCGCCTTTCCAACGCGTCATGTACAGCGGGAGAGAGGAGTCCAAGTTTCTTTTCAGCCCTTTGATACCAGCGGCTGAAAATCCTCGTCCCTTTCCCCCTGTCACTCCGCGGGGCGTGGGTTCCCTGTTTCTGCCACCTTCTTTGCCCTTTACCTTTTGAGGGGCAGGGGCGGCCACTCCCGTGCCAACTAAAGCCCCAGGGCCCGTGCGAGCCGGGGGCTAGTGCGCCCCTGCGCCCCGAGCGAGGCCAGTCCCGGCCGTCCCCTTGCGGTCCCAGTGTTACCCTCTGCCCAACCGGCCCCCCGGCCCTCCCGCGCGAGGAGCCGGACGTGGCCTCCTGCGCTTGCATTTTCCATCCCTACTCCCCGCTTCAGGGAAAATCCTTCTTCTATGGATGTGTTTCTAAGCTGCTCCGGGGGCCGAGTGATCCGGCTATGGGGACCGTGTGAGCCGCTCTGCGGTTCCGCGCCCTCGTCCCGCCGCTCCGGCTGGCCGGGCCCTGGGCATTCGGGAGGATGCTGAGCGCTGAGAGGAGCCGGGACGGCGCGGTCCTGCGGCCGGCCGGGAGAGCAGGGCGTCGGGCTGTGGGCTGGAGCATGCCGGCTGGGGACGTTTGTAGTGTTTTACTGGCTCCTTGGCTTTGAAAGCAGCGTTCTCTTTTCCGAATTCCTGTAACCCTCGTTACTGTGACATTTAGTGTCACCGCAAACCCAGGAAATTCTGAGTTAATGGAGATGGACAACGGGTGATTGGGTTGGAACAAGAGAGTGGTATGCTGAAACAAGCCAGAGGGAACTAACTAGATGAACAGACTTCAGTTCTGAAGTCAGACCCCTAAATGTCCACGCTGGGGTTTGGCTGCTTCAGAGGCTTTTTCTTTGCTTCATTCATTCATTCATAGCCGAAGATCTTAGGTGGAATGAGTGCCTTATTTGGTTTCTGGTAAATTACATGGATTTGTGAAATAAAGCCGTCTTTCCACGTGCTGAATCGGCCTAGCTTCTGAGCTGACACTGTACTGTTAGCGCTGTTTTTGTAAAAAAATGGTATAGGTAGTATATGTATGCGAAGACTTGGTTTATTCTTGAACAGCAAAGAACATGCAGCCATCAAAAGTCGTGCAGTCCATTCAGAGATATAATCGTGTCAAACTGGAATGATTTTTTAAAACTTTGTTTCCCAGTAAACTGTGCCTTGGCCACTCTGCATAGCCTGGTGTGCTGGTGAGACCTGGCAAAGCTTTCTGCCTTTCATGCAAAGAAAACCAAACACATTAAGCCACCCTTGGCATTTCTCTTTCCTTAGTCGGCCACTTTCATTAGTACACGTGATTAGAAACAGCAAACGTGCTTGTTCGCCTCCCGGAGGCTGATTCCTCACTCTGGTGGGCTTCAGTTGCTGGATGGTGTGAGGGGTCTTCCATGCAGAAGGCTTCAGACACTCCTGAAGTGTGTGATTCTTAGTTTTTCTTTATTTTTTATTTTTTTTAAAGAATTCCTGGTGGCCATATGGAAACGTACGGAGACCAGGTAGAAAAAGTGGGGGAAATGAACATTACACATAGATTGGTGATTTGGGATTCTATTCTTTCTGTCAACGAACCATAAAATTTAATCCTAGCCCTTAGAATGCTTTAGTGATTTGTCAGTTGAGGAAGAGGTGTGTAAATGCAATAGCTTTTGAAATTGCAGTGGAGGACTCATTAACTTTGTGTGGTGGACCCTGGGAAGATGGTTTCTGAAGGGGGTAAATAGAGCCCTGATCTATAGGGCTGACCTATAGGAATGCCTGATCCTATAGGAAATCGTGATCTATAGGAAAATGCCTGATCTATAGGAAAATCGTGTAGTCCTCTTTCCTCCCCAATTGTTTCCATGGATTTAGACACTAGAAGTGTCTCTAAATTTAGTTCATTCTCATACCAAAAAAAAAAAAAAAAAAGCACGTGGTTTGTTTGGCTTGTAAAGCATGGACATAAAAAAAGATAGCGGGCCATGCACAGAAAGGCAGAATTTAAAAGCTCGCTATAGTTTTTTAGAGATAAGTGGACCTATATTTTTTCTCTTGCCTCATACTGTTCAAGTCAGGGCTCTCATTCCATATTTAGCCAATTTCTGCACATCCTAACGTTTTTCATAGGGTACAAGGCTGCAGTATGGGGCTTTGGGGATCGTTTGAGGGGAGTCCAACTAGGATTTCTGCTGCTTCAGCAGCCCAGCCCAGGCTTGTCATTGTGTGCCCTGCCTGTTAAGTAACTCATCACAGAACTGTTATTCTCCACTTGGCAAAACCCAGAGAGCCAGCTCACCTCAGATTGCAGGTTTAATAAACTAAGCAGGAGGGAGCGCTGAAAACCAATCTCAGGCACTGCCGCACAACTCAGGACTCAACACCCAGGTTGAGGACATGTCTGTTAAAGCAGTTTATGCAAAATATTGTTTAAAATTACATTTCATTTACATTTGTGTCCATACCCTTTCCCCCCATATTTTGCTCTTTCCCCCTAAATTAATGATTTGCACTTCAAGGGTTCCTTTCCTTTGAGCTTCTTAAATGCTTTAAAATTTTAAGCATGTTAAGTCTCTCCTGGGCTTTGGTATGCTGGCAGTGGATGGAGCCGCAGAAGAGTGGAAGGGATTTCTCTGGAAATGAAGCTGCCTGTGGGTGGAGTGTGGCTGTTTAGGGTGGAAAGGGAAGGGTTTTCTCTCTGCTGTGTGTGTGTGTGGAGCCCGAGACCCCTTGCCTGTGCGCCCGCATGCTGGGAGGTAAGGGACAGTGTTAGTTGAGGGACATGATCCAGAGCCCTGGGAGCCTGTCCACTTTGCACAGTAGCATCACCCTTATTCCCTGAGCTGGCACAAGTCCTGTAGCCCTTGCCCGAGAGTCCAAGTGTGGGGGACTTTAGGTGGGATCTTCTAGGAATCATGGGGGGAAGCGGGCAGGTTATTTCTTGGAACAGTGAAGGACCTTGCCGGGCTAGACCATGGTACACATGGAAGGGAACGTTAGGGTGTAAAGTTGGAGAAATTCAGAACTAAATTGTAACAGGCTTCAAATGCCAAGCTAACTTGTTGGTTCTTAATTTGGGAACCAGTAATGTTTCTGAGCTAGTAGTAGACATTCAAATAAAGGGAAATGGCACAAATCCACTTATTGGCGTTGAGTGAGACCTAGCTGTTTACCTCTTTGTGCTTAGTGACCTTCATGGATGCATTGAACCTCTCTGACCCTCAGTTTCCTCATCTTTGCTGTGGGAATAATCATTCTTACCTCACGGCCTTGTTTGGAGAATTAAATACTGTTCGTGGGTACTGAACAACTGCTATCTCTAAAAGAGGAAAATGAAAAAGTAAAAGCCTGAATATCCCCTTGAAAGTATAGTGAACCGGGAATCTTAAGTTCACGATATTCCTGATATACTTCTTGCTTTCTGGAAAATGGTTGTCTTTCTTTTTTTTAATCCTTCATCCCCACCTCTGAGATTGATCTGACTGGTTTGTTTGGGGTTTGGGCTATGAATCTTAAATGCTGTTAGAGACGGACTTTTTGGGAAGTTGTCCAGACACCATGCCAGCTCTCTCGTACCCAGTTGTGGTGTCAGAATGGGGATCTCAGTAGTGGGCAGCCATCAGGAATGTGGGTGGAGGGTGCAGCTTGCCTTGGTGGTTAGGCATTTGGAGTGTCCACTAGTGGGTGGACGTGTCTGAGTAAGGGGTTCCTGTAGTGGGGTCCCAGGTTCTGAGCTCCACGACTCTCCCTCTGTATCCCTGCCCCTTTTGTTAGAAGGGCAGGTCGCTGTGATCACTGGAAGCATGCGTGACTTGAGGTCGAGCCTGGGACCCTCATGTGGTTTAATGGGTATCAAAAATCTGTGAGCGTGTCTGGGTGGATGCGGAGGGGCACACCAATACCACTCCTTGCCACCTATCATCAGTTTGGCGTTTAAAGAAAGTCCACTTGAAGTGAGGGTTTGAAGTTGACATAGGGAGGACAGTAGCAGGGAAAACCACTGTGTAGCCAGATCATCTGACAATGTCACTGGAACATAAATTTCTCTCTTTAAAGAAAATAAAGTTTCCCTATTCTGGACTGAAGTTGTGGCTGCCTCCGGGTCAGCAAACATAATGGAAACAGATTGTGTGACTGCTAAACAGTGCAAAAGTAACGAGCTCTTCCCTAGACCCTTGAGCAAAATGGAAAAGCTGCTGCTACACCCAGCACGGAGTGGGCTCAGCTTGCCCAGGCTCTGCGGACCTTGGGGTGGGGGACACCTGGGAGGCTGGAGAAGGTTTTCTGAGTCCTCAGGCCCACTGTCAGCTTCTCCACCCTAGCTCCTGTTTGGATGAGTGATGGATGAGTCGTTGGTTTCCCATTTGGAACAGAGGAAGAGGTGGTCAGAAAAACGATGGGAGAGGGGTGGGGGAGATAGGGTCAGGGAAGACGTAGTTTCTTCTTGCTACTGCCCATGTTTCTCAGGGCTTTGGGGAGAGGGAATTCAGTTTGGGAAGATACTGATTTTAGTGTCAGAGCAGGCAAGGCCACTGTTCTGCCTAACTTCTAGCAAGTCCAGAGGCAGTGGGCTTAGTGAGAGGAGGTGTGGTGGGGCGGGGAGTGAGGCTGCCTGGG